ACCTTTTCAATGATAGTTAGAATAGATGATAGTTTTTTTTTTTTTCTTTTATTTAAAAAAATTCCTTTTTTATTCCTTTTTCCCCTTGTGTAATTACTACAAGAGGGGGGTGATACAATTTAGGTTTATGATCGTGACTGCAGAAGTGATCTGCAGGTTTTGATCCTGCTGGAAATCTGGAATCTTAATTTCATCCACTAGGGGAACAACATTATTATCCCATAAATCGCATCTAGAGGCTTCGGCTAAAGATGTGTGAATTGGGTCAGGGAAATTTATACTTTATATGAATTCTCAACTTGTAATGGTTTTTTATGATTAAAAAAAAAAACGATACAAACCTGATAGCGGGATTAAAAAAAAAAAAAAAAAATAAGTAAATATATAATTCCGATTTTTTTTGCACCACACTGTATTATTATGAAATAGTTAAATAAAATATTTGTTTTATTAATTAATCTAAAAAATTTTAATTTTTTTTTTATATTAAAATTTAATTTATATTTTTAAAATTTATTAATTTATACTAATTTATAAAATTTTTATTAATAATTAGATTTAAAAATTTTTTTTATAAAATTTTTTTATTAATATAATTTTGGTTCAACATTAATATTATAAAGGTTTATTTTAATATAATCTAATTTTTTTAAATATAAATTTGATTAATTGAATAAAATAGAAAATTTTTATAATCAAATAAATTAGAATTTTAAACTTTTTTCTAACAACTTATAAAACATTAATTAAAAAATAAATTGTTAGAGAAAAATAAAATTTTCAAATTATTAAATAAAGTTTTATTAATGTTTCCTATCTTCAATATTGCTTTTTTTTTCTAGATGAAATGGATGCCTTTAACAATATAATATTTAATTAAAGGTGTAACTAATTTTAATACTAAATTATTATTAATCAGAATAATTTGTCTTTCTTTCAAGAGAGAATTTTTTATGACTAATTAAAACATTAAATTTAAGAGTAGCAATAAGTCCCATTATGAAGATTATTTTAGTGATTTCATTTTTAAATAAGAAAGTTTTAGCATATATACCAACGTTAAACATGAAATTTTTTATTTTTATAAGTAATTTTTCTTTATGTATATTAGATTAAATCTAATATAGTAATAATGGCGAATATAGGTAGGACGCAACATCTATTACAAGAAAATAATTTCAAGATGTGTTTCTACGATTGCTAACGTGAATATAACTCGTTCACAAGGAGGATACTCGCTTATATGTGGACATAGAGGATGGCCAATTCGTTTTTCTATTGTAAAGGGTTACCAAATGATCATGGTTTTTGGACTTCTCAGATGCTAACCAAATGAAAGTAAATTTCTTTAATTCTTCAACAACACATTAATAATTATTTAGAAGTCTACTAGTTCTACTTCCGGTTTGGTGTAAACAAGAGAAGTTAAAAGTATTTTAAAGAATTTAGTACTTTGATAGTCACAAGATCAAGGTTTACTGTAATCGTTATTCAACCCTTTAATTCGACGAGTTAACGATTATTCAGTGACAATCGTGAGTGTTCATACGTCCGGACATTATTCAACTTTGTTTTTTCCTTCTTTTTCTAGTCCGAAGAAGTCTTTCAATGTCATCACAACGAGTTCATGATCCTCCAAATGTGATGATCCGCTAACAGTAATAGTGCCAATAACACCCACACCTTTTACAATCAAAGGAAATGCCCCTCCAAGTGCTAGATACTCTCTTTCGTCGAAAAGATACGTTTCACCAATTTTCTTATTTTGTTGTTTCAGGTGTTCTCCAACGTAAAGGGAAGAATGATGAAAATGGTTTACAACGTTGCTCTTTCTTTGTGCACTATTGACATCAGCGGGAGTTGTTCCTGACATGGAATAATGAAAGAGGAGATGCTTATTCAACGTAATGGTAATGACCACCGAAAGTCCTTTTTGTTTAGCATTTGTTAAGATCAAAAGTCCCAAGTCGAAAGCTATGTTAGAATCAAAAGTCAAGAATTGGAAATCCTGTTCTTGCTGAAGAAGCTGTGCAAGAGATAGTGGGATAATTTGATGTTCGGCTACTGCCATTTGATATCAAACCGTATATAATATTAAGGAAAGTACTCCTAATTAGATGAAAACATCGATCTAAGCCACCCGATTTTTCGGTTACGGTGATTAAAAGTTTCTGAATTTTATGTGATTCCCACACTAAATTGGGTAGGTACCACTAAACTTTGTCCTATATCTATTAAGGCGATGATCATATCAATTAAGGACGTTTCATTTTTTCATTTTTCTCGATAGACAAATGGTTGCACATAATTATTGTTTTCAGTGTTTATATATACGAGCTATTCAAATTTTTAGAAAATAAAGATAACAAACAAAATTACACCGTAAACTAATAATAACTACTTTGATCTAATATATCTGCCGATTACAAGTGCATGATCCCTTTCGTAAGGTTCCAAGGATAGTTGTTCTAAAGGTTTTATATATTCTGCTTGTAGCTTTTTCACCTCCCTCGCGAAAACCGTTTCTGCATCCACTGTCGAATCAATACAATTCGCCTTAATCGATATGACAATATTTCCGTTATTTTTGAGAAAATGATGAGCATTCAATGCGATAATACGCGCTTGATCTGGCTGCGCTACATCAGCAAAAATAACGTCAACCATGTTAATCAGCATTCGATATTTTTGCGGATGACGTGCATCTTCGATAATTGGAATCACATTTGTACGTTTCTTTGCAACATTGATCAGATCACGTCCCGATCGATGAGAAAATTCTACGGCGTAGACTATTCCTTCCTGCTCGGATATGAAGTATAAATTAAGGCGAAAGTGATAGGTTAACGAGTAAAAAAAGAAAAAAAATCATACCGGACCAACAATATCGGCAACGTGTGACACTGTAGTTCCAGAGGCCGCACCGAGATATAATACTTTCTTTCCAGGTGCAATATAAATATCATCGACACCGCCCAAGATTCCTGCGGCCAATTTTGATCGGAATGGATTCCAGACTCGATATTCAACCTTTACACCATCTGCACCTTCTACTGAAATTCTTTTTTCTCCGTAAACGGATTCTCCACTCACAAGATTTTTGGTGACAAGAGCGTCCTCTTTACCTCTTGCAACAAAAACGCCTACAAAGTCAATGCATATAAATGATGTGAATAAAATTCAACATGATCTAAATACGCTGAATGCGGTCATATTAGGACTGGAAAGATTACCCAAATGCCTATGCGGCTCGATTATGACTTTATTTCCACCCTTTGCTCCGGGTTTTCCTTTAAATCCTAATCCACGTCCGCCGCCACGGCCACCACGTCCACGATCGCCACCACGACCGCCACGTCCACGATCACCACCACGGCCACGGCCACCACGTCCTCGGTCGCCGCCACCGCCGCGTTTTTGGACACCTAAAAAGAATAATGAATGGATGATAAAGTGTTAGTAAGACGACAGACAATGTATCCTTCACGCGCAAAGCTTACCTCCACCACGAACTCCACGAATACCTCCTCCTCTGCCGCCTCCTCCCCTAGCACCGCCTCGACCAGTATCTATGAAGGAAAAACATTAAAGGAATCAGCTGAGAATTTCTCCAAAAAATATGAGTTCAGATTTTTTTATTCTAAATAAATTTACTGTATGCCATTGCAAAACGAGATTTGTGTGAAGTGATTATTAAGTTAATTTTGATGATTACGTCCGTTAAAAAAAAAAAATCACGTGAAAATTTAAATACAAAATCGAACCAGTTGATGCTTTCGTGTATATAATAACATTTCTCGTTATAATAATATTATAAAATACGTAAATGTCAAAAGTATGTATGATCCTACTTATAGAAAGCGCCTTTCCTTTAACATCTGAATCTCTTTTGCTAATTTCTTTCGCGTATACAATCGATAAGATGCCGGATGAGAGGTTGATGCGTTACGAGAAGCTTTACAGGAAGTTTAGTCCCGCTCATTCGTGCCCTATGTATAACACTCAAGGTAGCAGTTCATGCCTTTATTAGGTAATAAATGATACTCTTTTTACTGGACTGAAAACGAATATCGTCTATTTTAGATTCGAAGAACATGTCTGATTCGGTGGATCTGGTTCAAAGATTCGATGCTGCATTTAAAACCCTTTTCCACAACAAGCCTGATGGCGAAATATTAAAGCTTCAGGAAATATTTCTGGACTTATCTGTTGCTCAGAAATCTTTGATTCATACAAGGTTGAAGGAAGCATTGGAACAAGTTGTATCACGCATGAAACCTTCATTAAGCAAGTGAGTGAAGTTAAGTTTTTTCAAAAAATTAACATTCACCTGATTTTTTTTTACCTTTGTTACTTTAAACAGCATCTTAGAAACTCCCGAAGAATCATTGCTAGAAGTGGTGGTTAGCCAATGGATGATGTTATGTGAACAATTGGTAAATTTTTCATGATCTTCTGATATTGAATTTTACAGTAACTAACCATGGATATCTATTTATTATAGATATTAGTTAAAAACTATATAGAACTCATGGATTCTGCCGTTGTAGCATTAGGAAAAGCCTCGATATGGTAGCTTATGTTTATGAATTTTGTTGATCGATGTTCGTGTCAATACTTATTAATATCTTATTGTTCAGGGATATAGGGACGTTGGCATTCCGTAAGAGAACTGCTTGTAACGTGGAATTTAATAGAAGGCTCATAGAAAGTATGATCTTGCAGATCAGAAAATTTCGGTATGAGTACATTCTTTCGTTATGATTGACCGACCGCTTGCACGATGGACTTGATCGAAGACATGATTTTCGTTTTAACTTAGAGATGGAGACGGCGTGAATTTGACCTCTTTTCGAAATGCAATTAAAATGTTTAAGGATCTAAAACTCTACGTTGTCATGGAAAAAATTCTTCTATTAGAGTCGTCTAAATATTATGAAAATCGAGCTAAATCGCTTCTCCTGACAGGGAGTGTACACGAATATATATCTCGTGTGAGGCAAAACTTAAAATTTGAGGAGGAACAATTATCCATTTATTTTCATCCAAAGACTCAGGGTCCATTATTGAAGGTAGTACGGTCTGAATTGATAGATAAGAACGCGCACGTAATATGGAATATGTGTAAGTTTCATTTTCTTTTGTTTACATTCATTTTTCTCTTTGAACGAGGATTAATTTATGCGTGATATTCGTTTTATACAGTTGAAAAATCATTTGTCACTGATAATGTTATGCATTCTGATAACAAATTTCGCGGTCAAGCGTTGAAATCGTTATATTATTTCCTTTCTAACATGGAATCTATCGAATTATTACAATTACTTATTGGATCTTATTACGAGGTTTGTTCAGTAATGTGCTATTTTGTTCCTGTAGTTTATGTAACATACTTATGAATTATATACAATCTATATATTTGCACTTTCAAAAATTGACTTGTATAGCAAAAAGGGAACCTTGCATATATGGAAAATACCCATGATTGGTATGGGCTGGTGGATAGCTTGATTCAACTTAGGAGCGAAATTGATACAATCGTCGATGGTGGTTCTGAAGATGAAAATTCGATTTTCAAGATCAAAGAAACTTGGCACGGGCGAATAGGAAAATTTGTCAGTGAGAACGTCACTATCATTGAATTAATTGGTTTGTTTTTATATATAATATTTATTCTATATTTCTTATGCCCATTGGTGCTCTAATTCGATTTTCTTTTTGTAGCAAAGATGGTCAACGACTTCATGAGAAGTCCTGAACTGAATCCTGAAGTCTGGCAAAGATTTGGGCAGAGCCTTAGCAACTTTCTCTCGTGTATGGAGGGTAAGAAGATCGTTCCTTTTATCATTATTAAATTCCGGTTCGATCTGTCATTCGTTAATTTTATAGTTGTATATATGAAGACAAAACAATTTTTAGGGTTTTATATATAAGCGATCTGGTAAAGAGGTTAATATTTAACGAGACTTCTGGGTTAGAATATGAGAGACAACTTGGAAAAATACTTTTTGCATGTATGTATTTATTTTTAAAAAAAGGGTTATATTGTTTCCATGATTTTATATATTTCTTTATTTCAAGGGATGGAACCAGGGTTTTCAGAGAAGCTGAATGTAATGCTTGAAGACATAGCAATTTCTCAGAAATTGAACAATGAATTCAAGAAATCCTATTCTGCAAAGGTATTTTCATTTATATTAATCTAACATTTATAATGTAAATCTTTTTTTAATCATTGCTATTATTTTCAGGAGGATCTGGAAGTTTTTATAAATGTTTTGACACTAAACAGTTGGCCAAATTACATGACAAAGTTTGATTCACCAATAAAATTACCATTAAATGTAAGTATATATTATTGTTATTTTATAATAGCTGACACTTTATTAATGATTATTTGTTTAGATGAAATCATTGAAGCAATCATTTAATGATATGGTTGTTTCCAGTAATAATAACAAATTGAAAGTATTGAAATGGCAGCATGGTCTTGATAGATGTATTGTTGAAGCAAAATATCCCAAAGTATATTATTATTATTATTATTATTATTATTATTTATTGATTATATATACAGTAATTAATATTTAAATGGTTTATTATTTAGGGAACAATTTATGTGGACATAAGTTTATATACAACATTAATATTACTGTTGTTCAATGATTTAAAACCTGGAGAAAAACTTACATATAAAGTTATTAAGGATCAAGTTAATTTATGTATGTAATTTTTTATTATACATATTATTTATTTTCATATTACTTATTTTTTTCTTGAAAATTTTTAGCACCTGCAAACTTAGACAGTAGTCTGCTTTCTTTAGTATTTGGAAAAATACAATTTTTGTTAAAAGAGCCATCATTTCATGTTATAACAAATACTGATGAATTTTACATAAATGAGAATCTCATTGTTGATAACAAGCACAATAATTATCCAATTACCATCTATGATGTGGAAATCAATAGAAAGGTTTGTTTAAGAAAACAAACATGCGAATTATTGTTAATTGGTTTATTATTATTTATTAATAATGATGACTCGATCGTTTACATCACAAAGTTTAAGGAAGTACAAGAAGTGAGAATAACGCGACAAATAGCGGAATATCGAACAATTCAATTAGAATCATTAATAATGAAAATCATGAAACCTGAGAAAACAGTCAAAACCAAAGACTTGGTCGATAGAATATTGAAGCATCCCAGGTTTGATTGGGCGACGGTAAATATTATGGTTACCATAGATGTTATTGTTTTAATCGATAAAATTTCTCATTCAACCTTCGCTATAAATGAAAGGCGAAAGACGTTTTGGATCAAATTCAGAAACTTAGGGTGAACGAGTATCTTAAGCAAGATGAGAAGGATTCGGCGGTTCTTATATATTTGCCTTGAGGTGTGACCTATTTGGTTTGAGACTCACGATTCTGTTCATACGAGATTTTATACGCCTGGATTCGTTGAATATTTCTTTACCTTGGTAATACTTTGTTATAATTAATAATAATAGTAATTATGGAATATGGATTTTTACCAAAGGGCTTCGAACATTTGCACAGTTTCACATAATAGACGCTTTTGCATTTAATGAAATCATGTTTTTTTAAATATTTTTGAAATTA